CACTAAAAACTAAGAAAAAACTAACACAAACCTCTAGTTCTTTTTCACGATGGTTATCATCAGAGCTGGAACAGTAAACCACCTTAAATGGCACTTTACTGGGCATGAAGACACTTCTGGGTTTTCTTATGGTGTAGCTATCAATAACAGAAAATCAGCTTTCTTCAAAATCATGAAATTCATTTACTGTATTTCAAAATTCTGAAATAAAGGGTTCCTTAGTGAATTGAATTTGACATAGGAAAATTTAATACCGCGGGGGGCAGGATATATTGTAGTTTCTCTTTCTCTGTAGAACACTGAGGGGAATGCTTGGGACATGAATTAGTAGTCATAGTAACTGAACTGACATGTTGACAAGACTGTCATCAAAATATGTTTAAAAAAAGCCAATTACTCTTGTTTCAATTTATTTCCAGTCAGATATCAGAGAAAAATTATTTTGCACATTGCATCCCATAACATCTGTGATTATGACAATCTGCAAACTATATTAAAATTACATGCTTGATTATTACGAGTTTGCGTAAATTGCCTCAGAGAAGACATTTGAATATAAATTTAATTATTTTCTGGCTCAAAGGACAGTCATTTGAATGCAATGTGATGTCTTAGGAAAAGAATGTCTTTGGAAGATTATCGAAGGCAGTCGAAAGATGGAACAAGAAACGGAATTATCGAATGTCAGTGTATAGTGACGATAAACTTTAATCACAGAATCCAGCTGTTAGCTTATTTGAAAAAATATAAGCTTAAGCTTTAAGCTTATATGTACAGTACATGTACAGAGGTTTTTTTACAGGAGTTTTTTTGGTTGCTAGAGAAAATTGTGTAGCCATAAATGACACATTAAGGCAATCGAGTAGATCTTCCTAAGCCTTGAAAATATCCTTTACATTCTGAATATTGAAAGATCGATGTTTTTAAAAGCTTATAAAGCTAAGTGAAATCGGCAAACTCGATATTTTTCATCACATACAATATGATTGATCTACACGACTTCATGAAATCAAAACGACTTATCTGTAAAATCACGCTTTACGACCTTCAAGGATCATGAAGAGAGAATGTTTATTTTCCCTGAAATCAAGCAAACAAAACATAACAAACCCACGTACCTACGTGCTGCAACTCGACACACTCAAAATTTTGGCGCCAAGCAAAATTAGGTAACACGACTCGCAGTAATTTCGTTCCGATTCCTCATATTTTGCATTCATCTGCTACATCAGCTTTCGGCGGCACCTAAGGGCCAATCTGTCCACGATTATTGCATCCAATATAATAATAATCCTTGAGCTAATTTGTATTCTTTCCGATCCTTCGGGCGAAAACTTTACTTTCGTTCGTTGCGTTACCCATTTTGAGGAAGACTGGGAAAGACTAGATACTGCAGTGCATTTTTTCCAGCAACTGACTGCTTTGTGTCATGCGCAAACATTCCAAGATGGCGGTAAAAACATGCATTTGAATAGTTTGTAAGCTGTCCCAGTTCTTTGAGAAAAAAACATATAATCTCTCATAAAATGGCGAGGTATAAAGCAAGAGGTTCATTTATAAAGGAATTGTGTTGTAGCTTTGACAAAAAAATAAACTCAAGACTTTTTACCATTTTTCGGGTTTTTCCAGGTCTGAAAAATTGCTGGGCACATCTCAAGTGTTTTTCGAGAATTCAAGACTATCTGTACAAACCCTGTACCGCTAACCATTACATGTATGAGGAACTGAAGTTTGCTCACTCTTGAGCGATTAAGGTAAAGCAATCAGATTAGCTCATAAAAAAAAAAAAGAAAATACTCACATATCATAAATTGGTGAGAAAGGAGCTGTAGTTTTCTTACTCGAGTCGGCTCGTTCATTAGCAATATCAGCTCCTGAGGATACAGACAAAACCTGACAAAAAGGAAGACAATGTTCTGTTATTAGATTACAATTACAATAAAACACAGAAAATGAATTTAATGACACATCATTCTATATGTTATTCTTACCTTGAAGACTGCCATCCTTTTGTTGTGGGACTGTGCGACTACAAAGTAAAATAATAAAAATCACTGTAATAATTAACAATTATTCCTCAAGCCCGAATGGGCTCTGAGTCAATAGCCCATGAGGCTAAAGGCCGAATGGGCTATTGACTCAGAGACCATGAGGGCGAGAGGAATAATTGTGTTAGTAAAATCCAACTAGTTGTTCAAAAATATTGAGACAATCAACTTTAGCTAGCAAAATGCGATTCAGTCGCCATTGTTTTTAATAGTTTTCAAAGCCGGCACTTTTCGTCACTAGTGGGCTTTAATATGTAGCCTAGTAGTAGCTCAACCAATCAGAGTGCAGCATTAATAATAGACCACTAGTTGGATTTTACTAATATCTGATAGAAAGTAAATGCCTCTAAACTGTCACATATCAAACACAGCATGCCATAGATCAGGAGTAAGTTGCAAAATGGTAGTTGACACCGGTCCAGGGTAACATTTTAATCCATGATTAGCTTTACCATCTGGCCCAAGTTGTTCAAAAGATAGATAGTATTCAAAAACCAATGGAAAAATCAGTATCAAGTGGATAAAGCAATCAGTTTTCCTAATATATATCCTCTGGATAGTAATTTATCCATCAGATAGAGCTACATATCCACCTTTTGAACATCCAGCACTGTACCATGGTCTGTCATTTGGGTCTCACAGGAAATTATTCTGTTATAGTGTAACTCTACAGTGCGCATGAGAATTTAATTTTGTTATTGAATTTCAACTTTTTTTCGGGAACTTTCACATTCATTATGTGATTCCATATTCCAGAAAATGGCATTAGACAAAACAATGATCCCCAGGCTGCACTTCTCTGATGGACTATGGTTTGAATATATTTTCTGGTAGCTTCTTCATGTACCTACCATGATTCATTATAATCTGTTAAAAACATAGTTCACATCATCAGGGTAGTTCATCAGGATAGTCCATCTACCATGTGCACACACCTTGTTTGCCCAATGAGCATTGTCTTCAATTTCTCTTGGGACACTGCATTTCCCAGGAGAAATTAATAACAGAGGTCATGGAAAATGTTGCCGGGAGGTTAATAAGATGTGTGATGGGAGATGTGCAAATGGTGAATGGACTAAGTCAGTGTTTTGTCTACCACTGCAGGAAATAACCACATCAACCCCATGGAGGGTCATATAGAAATCTCTGAGGGGGTGGGGGAGGTCCTACATGTACATAATATACATTGTAAACTGAAATTCTGAGGAGGGAAGGAGGATTAGAAAAAACTATCCATAGAGGAATGGCTATGGTATTTTCTAGACCTTAACCCTGCAAGTAGCGCAAACTCAAGTGCAAACACAATTGCCATGGCCTTTATTTCAATGTGAATATGGCCTTGCACCCACACTTGTATGTTCTTGAATTTGGATTTGCTTTCAATTTACACAAGACTCCAATTTCTGTATGGCTAGTAAAAACCTGCCACTAAAAACTAAGAAAAAACTAACACAAACCTCTAGTTCTTTTTCACGATGGTTATCATCAGAGCTGGAACAGTAAACCACCTTAAATGGCACTTTACTGGGCATGAAGACACTTCTGGGTTTTCTTATGGTGTAGCTATCAATAACAGAAAATCAGCTTTCTTCAAAATCATGAAATTCATTTACTGTATTTCAAAATTCTGAAATAAAGGGTTCCTTAGTGAATTGAATTTGACATAGGAAAATTTAATACCGCGGGGGGCAGGATATATTGTAGTTTCTCTTTCTCTGTAGAACACTGAGGGGAATGCTTGGGACATGAATTAGTAGTCATAGTAACTGAACTGACATGTTGACAAGACTGTCATCAAAATATGTTTAAAAAAAGCCAATTACTCTTGTTTCAATTTATTTCCAGTCAGATATCAGAGAAAAATTATTTTGCACATTGCATCCCATAACATCTGTGATTATGACAATCTGCAAACTATATTAAAATTACATGCTTGATTATTACGAGTTTGCGTAAATTGCCTCAGAGAAGACATTTGAATATAAATTTAATTATTTTCTGGCTCAAAGGACAGTCATTTGAATGCAATGTGATGTCTTAGGAAAAGAATGTCTTTGGAAGATTATCGAAGGCAGTCGAAAGATGGAACAAGAAACGGAATTATCGAATGTCAGTGTATAGTGACGATAAACTTTAATCACAGAATCCAGCTGTTAGCTTATTTGAAAAAATATAAGCTTAAGCTTTAAGCTTATATGTACAGTACATGTACAGAGGTTTTTTTACAGGAGTTTTTTTGGTTGCTAGAGAAAATTGTGTAGCCATAAATGACACATTAAGGCAATCGAGTAGATCTTCCTAAGCCTTGAAAATATCCTTTACATTCTGAATATTGAAAGATCGATGTTTTTAAAAGCTTATAAAGCTAAGTGAAATCGGCAAACTCGATATTTTTCATCACATACAATATGATTGATCTACACGACTTCATGAAATCAAAACGACTTATCTGTAAAATCACGCTTTACGACCTTCAAGGATCATGAAGAGAGAATGTTTATTTTCCCTGAAATCAAGCAAACAAAACATAACAAACCCACGTACCTACGTGCTGCAACTCGACACACTCAAAATTTTGGCGCCAAGCAAAATTAGGTAACACGACTCGCAGTAATTTCGTTCCGATTCCTCATATTTTGCATTCATCTGCTACATCAGCTTTCGGCGGCACCTAAGGGCCAATCTGTCCACGATTATTGCATCCAATATAATAATAATCCTTGAGCTAATTTGTATTCTTTCCGATCCTTCGGGCGAAAACTTTACTTTCGTTCGTTGCGTTACCCATTTTGAGGAAGACTGGGAAAGACTAGATACTGCAGTGCATTTTTTCCAGCAACTGACTGCTTTGTGTCATGCGCAAACATTCCAAGATGGCGGTAAAAACATGCATTTGAATAGTTTGTAAGCTGTCCCAGTTCTTTGAGAAAAAAACATATAATCTCTCATAAAATGGCGAGGTATAAAGCAAGAGGTTCTATAATTCAGTTCAAATGGCAAGAAACCGCGGAAGGACGCGAGTTTTTGGGAGGGATTTTGCATCGAAACAGAAGAAAAATGTTTGGTGAGGAAATCAATCTATTCCCGATTCTAAAGTTATTACTAAGAGTTAGTTTGGAAAACTAGCATGCAATATAAAAACATTTTTTCTTTGTTTTCAGGAGTGCTTGAAACACCCAGTCTTCCACCACAGCTAAATATAGAGACTGTATCCTATAAGATTATTTTAACTGGCAAGCCTGCTGTTGGAAAGACCAGTACAGTTGCTAAGCTTCTAGGACAAGGTAAAATGGACAGACTTTGTCCAAAAAAAAAAATTAACAAATTAACAAAATCCTCAGGGTAGTTGGGCATTTTGACCTCATACAGATTAAATGGGCCATCCCATACCCCCAATGGCTTAGGTGAGTTGACTTATACCCTCGTCGAAAAAAGAAAGAAAATCGAAAGTACTGACACAACCCTCTCCCCCTTTACAAATAACCTGTGTTTTCTTTCCTCTTATAGAAAGTAGGGAATTTTCATTTGCATACCGCTCAGAAATGTACCCAAGATATGAGGGTGCTTTTTGGCCACACCCTAAGAAGTGACTTTGGTGCTCCCCTCAGAAAAGTCTCATCCATAGGGGGTGTTTTCTGTTAAATGGAATGGCCCAATACCATGAACAATTACCTCTTTTTAGCGGACCATCTGCGTATTACATGTATTTAAAAATTTGAAGTTAATGCCATGTATGTCTGACAGCTTTTTAGTGGTGTCTGACTTCAGTGGTGACCTGATTAGACATTATTGTGTCCTTTCTAGAAAGCAAAATTATTTGCAGCCTTGTATGTGTACAGTACAAATAAGCTTTTCAAGAAGAGCTATACTTTCTCAACAGAAGGATTTGTACCTTGCTGACGCCCACCCCAGGCCACCACTCAAATATTGGTGTTATATAAAATTGCCCTACTCTCTTATGAAGGAATTGTGGAAATTGGATACAGATGAACAGGACATTAATTTTAAGCCACTTGCCCCTTCCCCTTACCTCTCTCACACTCACATACACTCTGGCAGGGGTGAAACAATAGGTCATACTTCATTACATATATCACTATGTTGTGATTAAATAATAATAATAATAATAATAATAATAATAATAATAATAATAATAGTAATAATAATAACAATAATAATAATAACTTTATTTCTATAGTGCTCTTATCCTATGTTCAAGGCGCTTTACAGTCATGTAAACAACAATATTGAAAAATATTTACCAATTTACAACCATATCCTATTATATTTACAATGAGTAAAAAAGGAAAAAATTACAACTAAAGCAACTTTTAAACCATTTTATTCATAATGATTAAAAAAAAGGGAAAAATTATAACTAACGCAATATATACAAATCTATAAAAACAATGATCCGTTATTACTGAATTTAGTAAACAAGTACGTCTTAAGTGATCTTTTAAAACTCGAGATGGTGTTGGACTTCTGAAGGCAGCACTGAACAGCTGATGAACACCAGCCAACTGCTGCGTGACTCTTGAGTTTTTACGTAGTGATTAGACTGGTTATAAAAAGTCTGAGTGAATCAAGTTCCAATTCGGTTTGCCCCACATAGAGCCTGAGAATACAGCCATCTCTCCTTGTTTCTCCCGAATGGGTACATTTTGCAGGGGTGACGTCTGCATCTCAGGACAGAAATTCCATACTTGTGATGTGAAATCTGTCTGGAATTTAATCAGGAGCTCTGATTTGTATCAGATTTCTGTGGATGAGATGTAGACATCTCTCCTGAGAAACATCCCAAGCAGCAACGAGAGGAGGAGGAGGAGGAGCAAAGAGACTGGTGCATTAAATTTGTAGGCTTCCCCATATAATGACTTTTCTTTTCGTGACTTTTTTGCAACATTTAGATGTAGCATAAAGATTTTAGATGGTCATGGATATCATTACGTTATTTTTTTATGGTGCTTTAAAAGAGCACTAGCGCAAATTTAATAAAACCATTTAAATTTCTTTAGTCACAGCCAACAAAACAGTTCTAGGCCTTTCACCTCTAGTTGCATTAAACTATGTTACTGAATGAAAATGAAAATGATGTTGTTTAATACTAAGTAATTCTTATTCAACCCAGAAATCACAAGTGGTTAGAACTGATATTATTATCTGCTCTGTTTTGATGCAGAAATTCCCCGCATTCATGTAGAAACCCCGGGCATTCAAACCTCAGTTGTCTACTGGCCAGCAAAGGTATACATTATTTTTACTGTCAAAGAATATGATGAACAACAATTAGGAGGTAACTCAAGATTGCTCTTTGCAGACAGTTGTCTTACAGTTTTGTTTCTCCAAACATCAAGACTCAATCAAAGCAAAACTATTTCCAAATGACAAGACATTTTCAAGTGTTTTGTTAAAAAAAAGAACAAACAAGGCTGTTTTTTTTATTCAGAGTTTACTGACTTCTCTCAAAGTTTCTTTGACAATTTTAGCTAACTTTCTCAGTGAAGATTTCTTTGAAAACTTTTAGAAGAGATAGCAACAGCATCTCTCCCTTCTGTTCGCTTTCTAAATCCTTTTGCTTCAAAAAGCTCCTTCCTTAGACTCCAATTTATACCCTTGAAATTCGTCTGTTTTCATAATCTCTGCTGGCAACAAAAGGATTAATTTGCTTATTACAATGTATTTACAATTTTGCCTGTTTCAGTTGAAAGAGAGCCAGAAAGTTGTTATGTTCAAGCTTCAGTTTTGGGATTGTGGTGAACATGCTGTCAGAAAATATGATCATATTTTGCCGGTAAGAATTGAAATACATACACATGTTAAAATGAGAGAACATTAAATTTGAATAATATACATATGAAATAATTATTTCATTTAGCATATCACTTGTGAAGACATGGTATAAATCTCTAAACCAAAAATCCTCTTTTTGATAGAAATTTGACCCATGATCAACCCCATTATTGTCATAAAAGTGCAGTTTAGTATTCTTTTACTTCTAAGACTTACAGACAAAATAATAAGTTTTACAATTTTTTTACTTTCTCGCTTAACAAACAACCTCAGTTTTGAAAACAAATTGTTATTTTTTCATAATTCAGAACACAAAAGATAATAAAAAATTGAAGATGCCCTCTAACAAACAAACAGACAAACAAAATGAGAAAAAAAAAAACAAACTGCCAGCTACTTAATTAGAGGCACAGTATTTTAAGGAAACTTTTAGAGGCCATTTTCAAATGTACCTGTAGCTGAGCTGTTGCCTTGGTGATGTTAATTACCCTTTGCTTGTCTATTTGAGTCAAAGTGTAATATTTTTTTGCTAATTTTATTTCTTTTAAAGACACTATTAAAAGATAAACCCTTAAAACAGCCCCTTGAGTTTAGACTGCAAAACAGTCAGTGTTTTTCCTCAAAACTGTTTTAGCGTAGCTGAAGAGTCTCACATGCACAAAGTGCGTGAGCCTCACACGCCCATCCCCAGTCTCGCTCTCCGTTTTCAGCCTCGGTCCAGACCTTTTGTTTGACTGCTTGCGCGTACTTGAATACGCAAAAATACGGGATGTTTTGCAGTCTACCTTGATTTTTTAGTTGTTCTCAATCCACAGGCACTCAAAGAAAAAGCTGATGCAGCACTTTTCCTGTTTTCATTTACTGACAGGTAGGTTTCCTCTTTGATAACACAGTCGACTACCGATAACTTGGACCTTCAAGAGAAATTGAAATTTTTGAGTTATTGAGGGTAAAAATGAATAGAAATGATCTGGGCTGAGTTGCTCAAAGCATGGTTAGCTTTAACCATTGGTTAAGCAGTATCAAAACCAATACGTTGTCAAGGTATTAAACGCTGGTTAACGCTAACCATGCTTCGAGCAACTGGGCCCTGAAGGTTAAATAGCATTTTCTGCAAAGTTAACTTTGTGCACATACACTGTACCAGAAATAGAAATCTAATACGTATAGTACTTGTTCCAAAGCGAAACGAAAGTTTATTTTTCATGTGTTCTGTATTCTGTCAAAGCCTGAATTCTCACAGCTGTTTTATTATTACCTTTTCTCACAGGGGCAGTTTTGATGACTTACCAAATCAGGTAAATGGAGAAAAAAACATTAATTTTACACCCTCAGAAAACAGCCGACATTTGTCGCCGCCACCACTGGATTCCCTGGGAAATGAATGAGCGTGGAAATTCCACCTTGATGACGTCTTACTACTTAGATGTGAAATGCTTCTGATTGGTCGTGCCATAAGGCAAATTTGCTTCAACAAATCAAAAGTACCACCCTAGACTGCTTGCAGTCCGCCTTTTCTCTTAAAATCCGTCTAGTTCTTGATCTCATCCAGCGCGATTGCAAACCTCGTTTCTCGCGGCTTCGCCGCTCGCGTGCTTAGGTTTTGCGTGTAGTAACTTTGCAAAGAAAAATAAGAGACTGCTCGCAGTGTAGTACCACCCAGATCTGGGTAGCGACAGGTCATTAGCATGGTACAGTGAAATCTCGATATAACGAAGTGCCAAGGGACTGGCACAGGGCGCGATCCATTCAACCAAAATTCCAGCCGGTCCGACCGGGAAAAGGGGACCACCTCAAAAGGTGGACCCGTTTTTTCGAAACTTTTCCGGTTGGACCGAACCGATCCATTGAGTTTTGGACCGAAATTTCCGGAAAGTTTGGTTGAATGGATCGCGCCCACAATTTGTTGGCTATAACGAGGTTTCGTTATATGGAGGTTCTTTTCCATATATTTTACTATAACTGGACTGCAAATTCAAATTTATTTGGCAAAATTGGCCAATTTGTGGTCGTACAAGAGACTCGGCCGGTATTGTCGAACTGTACTATGCCGGGTACAGGCTTTGGGAAGCCAGCGCTTCATTTCAGTGGCTGTTCCGAGGTTGAGCCGTAGACTGTGTCAAAATTTGTCCTCAGATTAGTCCCAGAATGTATTTCTACACAAACCGATGCGGTCACAGGCGCAACCAAAATGGCTAATTCGGTCCGAGTGGATAGTCCTTCAGATAGATCTTGACTACTAACAATTATGTTTTCACACTATATGCAGATAAATCGTATTCTGGATGAAGGTGACAAGATTCTGCAAATAGCTGTTGCCACTAGATATCCTTTCAAATGTTCTTACGTATGAATAATGAGAAGAAAAAGACAGTACTCCGGTCTCTCCTGAGGGCCGTTGCGTTTTAAGGAAGTCTTTAATGTCGTAACGAATGGTCATTGGCCGTAAAGCAAGCCGGGGAAAACATTCTAGATAACTAAAATAGTACCGTAAAATTCCGAAAATAAGCCCCGAGGCTTATAGTCACGGTTTCAAAGGCCTTTTTTGAGGGGCTTATTTTTGGAGGGGCTTATTTACGAAGGGAAATTTGCCTTTCGAAATCGATTGGGCTAGCCTTATAGTTTGAAGTAAATTTACCGTTTTTGCTTTGTTTTACTTTGTATTTGAGGGTAATTTTCCAAGTACAAGCCCCCGGGGGGCTTATGTTTGAAGGGGCGATTTAACGGAGGATTTTTGCGTTACCCGTGTGGGGGGCTTATATTTGGAGGGGCTTATACATGGAGGGGCATGTTATCGGAATTTTACGGTATAAAAATATCGCCCATTTTCATTTGTTGTTGTTGTTGTTGTTGTTTGATGAATTGTTTGTTTGTTTGTCACCTTGACATTTTCAATAGTAAAACTTGTGAGTGTAAAAAAATTTTCAGCCCTTTACTGTGTTTTTTATTATTAACATTTAACCCGAGTGAGACCTCACAACGCCGAAAGGTTTTTGTTAATATTGCACCTTAACATGTACCAAACTTGACCAAATTTTGAACAGCGATTTTACAGAACAAGAAATAAGAGAGTTTGAGGATCAATGGCAGGTCCCTGTACTCAGAATAGCGAATGTGACCGGTCAGAGAACGGCTGATGGTCGAGGTTTGGACGGCCGGTCGGGGATTACGGTAAGTCAGATAAGCGTTAAGCCTTTAAAACCTGAGTTCAAAATCTGAATTCTCATTTGTTGCCCCTTGTTGTGGGGAGTAGTTGATGAAATCTCAATCAAATTCATCGTATGTGATCATGTCCGTAATTCTCATGACCACTCTGTTTTACAAGGCATTGATATTACAAGGGAAAATTTGACGCTGATCACCCGTAGGGCTTGAAGGGTCAATTATTCCCTTCACTCCACTGAGGCCAACTTAAAAATCTGTTATTACATTTTATAAATTACAGAACCATGAACAGTACCATGTATAAGTACTGCGTCAGGTTATTCCTTAGCCGAGTTGCATTGCGCAAAAAAGAATCTATGGCGTTCCGTTAATTAAGTCAATTGTTCATAGATTTAGACTGCAGTTCGGTCAAAGTACAGATAGTCGAAAGGCAGTGACGTTTCGAAGGCCAACCCTTCGTCAGGGTCGTAATGAATAGTTACATCGCTGTTTTGTTTGACCATAACTCACTTCTTTGGAGTGAACTAGTGGATCAGCTTTTAATTTTCTTAAGTTCTTTAATTCGTTCTTGTTGACGGAGCCTTTGTAAGTCATGAGGACGTTAATTAAGCTCAGTTACTAAGAGAAGATAATACTTAGTTCAGTCGTGTGTTCATGCTATCCACAAAATCTTTAATTTTTCATTTATAGCCTGCGTAGTTGGTGGGGTTGTTATTTAGCGTGGGAAAAGTTGTGGTAAAGAGACTGCGAAGCCGTCCGGAGAGAGGGGAGGAAGCGCTTTAAAGTCGCTCGCGCCTTTGGCGCTCGCTTCTCACGGCAAAGCCGCGAGAATGGCGGCCTCCCCGCAAAAACTCTTACAAGCGCATAACCAATTCCCTCAGCCGTGCAGGCTAGTAGGTCATTTATCGCTTTCGTTTTCCTGAGATGACGGCGGAACCATATATCTTGCTTCAAAAGCACGCGTAGAGGCGTTGTTTTTGCTCAAGATCCCTTTTTTCCGCAGTTCTTGTTCTTGTTGTCTTCACCGTTCTGGTTCTTTTTGTTCTTCAGTTGTCATTTTACTAGTCGTTTTAAACTTCAATCACGAGATCAAAATTAAAACTGTAAAATGACTGTGGGCGTCGATCTTGGCAAAAGCCCATAAGAACCCTAACGTGACTGCCATACTCTAAGTCTTTGATCAAAAATATAGAAATAACTCACTTTTTATGTATAGTCTGCAATTAATAATAACCCATTACAAATCACGTGAAATTCTTGCGGGTATCTTTCTTGTCCTTCCTGGTATAACAAGTGCGTGAGAGCAGGCTAACTAATAACTGAGTCTGCTCTCACGTGATCTGGTAATTGAGGAAACGAAGCGAAAACTCTATTGACATTTTTAGGATATTGCACCGTTCCTGAACTCTTTGGCAGAGTTGCTATGGCAACGAGATCAGGTGACAGCAGCTTCCGGGAAGAGGCAAATATCCCGGCATTCCTCTGGCGCTTCACGTGGTTCTGCGGAGTTCAAGATTTACATTTGACGGAATGCGGAATTGAAGGGTTTGAATGTAGAAGTTCAACCACGGAGAAGTGGATTACAGCGATGATGGCTCGAGTTTCAGGTTTTGACTTTAACGTGAGCTTAAAGACAGGAATTTTTATGCCTGCCAAAAATCGCTAGTAAAAAGTCGGAAGTCGGTGGGGCTTTGGGAATATTTCACGCAGAACTTCACTCACTTTTGAATTATCTTGAATTAAGGAATTGCGATATCTCGCAGCAGGAGAAAGGGGCCTACGCCATGTTCACTTCCTCTTAAAGAATGAAGCCTAAATCACTTAAGTTTACTCCATGTTACCCGGCTCTTCTCCGAACTAGACTATTCTGAATCCTTTGTAGTTTGGTGTCTCTCTATTTCACCAATTAAAACAATATTTCAAGTTCTTCTTCGCTTCCAAGATAACTGTGTGCGTTGCAAGCTCAATAGAGCAGATGAAAATTTCCTTTAGTCTCCGATAACTCGGATGGGTGTTAAATCTTCCGCGTTTCCGAAATTATTAAGGTAGCCTGCGAGCAGGCGCACTTATGCTGTTTCGGGGAAAATTTTGGCGGTGGACTTGCCATTTTCTCGCTCGATGGCGGCTTCCAACATTTTATTTCTCCGAACAAGCACCAGTGAGCCTGCGCGGAGGCTATGAGGAAAGCATTTCACGCAGTACATGTGCCATAATACATACGAGCTTCTCATTATTGAGGCGCGTTTGGATTGGACTTGCTTCTATTTTCATTGCAAAGAAATTCCTAGCATCATATCCTTAATAGGAATCGAAAACTTATGCGTTCTGGAATATGATGCTGTATTCCTAAACTGAAATGAACAAAACGAGAGAGAAATAGTCATGATACCAGCTTACTCTCGACAAATCAATCATGATTTTTCACGTTTTCTATTTTTACCTAGAAAAATGAAATACACTGACTCGCCTTGCAGCCAATTCTGAGTTCAATCAGTTGTTCTTTGTCACTCTTCTACTTTACTCTATAGTTTTTTGAAATTTTGCTTTATCTTTCCGACTTGTACAAACTTCTCTTTCATTCTTCCTTCCCCTCCATTAAGACGGATCTTTGTTAATTTCAATGGATAAACAAGAGAATAGGTTACACTTTAGTCTTTCATAAAAAACACACAGCATACACATGAATTCTTCAGTTGCCCTGTAATATTTACCAAGAACAACCAAATCTACATATTTTTTGTAACTTTAGTTAAAATTCACCGCTTTAAAACGGACCTTAATTGAACAACCAAGTATCCGTTTTACAGAGTTACCTGTATTATTGAGGTAGAGATATCGTGTGACGTTTGNGATTGGACTTGCTTCTATTTTCATTGCAAAGAAATTCCTAGCATCATATCCTTAATAGGAATCGAAAACTTATGCGTTCTGGAATATGATGCTGTATTCCTAAACTGAAATGAACAAAACGAGAGAGAAATAGTCATGATACCAGCTTACTCTCGACAAATCAATCATGATTTTTCACGTTTTCTATTTTTACCTAGAAAAATGAAATACACTGACTCGCCTTGCAGCCAATTCTGAGTTCAATCAGTTGTTCTTTGTCACTCTTCTACTTTACTCTATAGTTTTTTGAAATTTTGCTTTATCTTTCCGACTTGTACAAACTTCTCTTTCATTCTTCCTTCCCCTCCATTAAGACGGATCTTTGTTAATTTCAATGGATAAACAAGAGAATAGGTTACACTTTAGTCTTTCATAAAAAACACACAGCATACACATGAATTCTTCAGTTGCCCTGTAATATTTACCAAGAACAACCAAATCTACATATTTTTTGTAACTTTAGTTAAAATTCACCGCTTTAAAACGGACCTTAATTGAACAACCAAGTATCCGTTTTACAGAGTTACCTGTATTATTGAGGTAGAGATATCGTGTGACGTTTGGTATCTTTGGGACACAGAGAACTGTCTATGCTAAAGAGGTTTTCGTAAGGAAAGTTTCGACCGTGTTGGATGTTTTATATATTTATGTTCAACTTCCTTCTTAGAAGTACTTTGTGAAGTCTAATTGATTCCTAGCGTAAGCTGGAATCGAGGCGTGCCCGGCAAATGTTATGTACTTCCTAAGGACGCAAATCTTCCTTCTTTGATAGAGGTCAGGTCAAAAACGTTCTTGTTTACCGCACTCAAATCTTAACAGAGCAGATGCAAAGTTCCTGTAGCATCCGAAGACTCAGAGGCCTAATTGAGTCTACTTGAATCCTGGCATAAGCCGGAATTCAGGCGTTATATCTTTATGTCATGGACTCCCGAGGGACGCGAATTTTATTTTCTGGATGGATTCCAGGTCAAAAACGTTCTTGCTTAACGGACGCAATTGCAAAAAGAGCAGATACAAGGTTCCTTTAACATCCAAAGACTTAGAGGCTTTTTTGAGGCCCGGCATAAGCCGGAACTGGGGCGCACCTGCAAACGATATGTACTCCCGAAAGGACGCAAATTTCACTTCCTTGATGGAGGTCAGGTCAAAATCTTTCTTGCTTGACGGACGCAAATTTAACATTTGCCTCGAAACAAATCGTGCTTAAAAATGGGTGCAGTTTGAAAGTCTCAGTAATATTCAGTAGTTATAATGACTTTGGGCGAGATTAAATCTCCTTCTCTCTATATAGTGGCCTCCCTTTTACGCACCTTTCACAAAGCCTGTTTAAGTCGAGTCAACACGGCCAAAGGTTAAGAGTTCCCAGTTTTGGCTGTCTATTACCGCGTATTCTGCATACAGGGGGCCTATAATGCAGAACGCAGAGGGCTAGAACTCTTGATTCTTCCTTTTTTATTGGTTTCTTCATTCTTACATGTATATAAAACGTTTCACCTGTGGAACTCCCTTTCAGCCTTGCGTGACATCACAAATAGGCGTGACGAGCAAACGTCACTTCCTTCTCCTCAGGCGCGACGAGGTCGTCGAAGAGGTCTTGTTTTCAAAACAGGAAGTAGTTTTATGATACCACACCTCGATCGAATGAATGAACCCATCACGGCCATCTTATCAGTCAAAACCTTGCTGAACTTGTTTTTTCATCTTAGAGCCGGACGAAAAACTATTTTCACAGAATTACTAGCTTTCATTCTCTTAAAGTGGGCACTTAGGCACGCGCACGTGAGATCATATGATTTGTTAAGTGACTGAAATTGGCTCGCCATCGATTAACTATTCTCGGAATCACGGGAAGCTAAAATTGACGCTATGAAGATCGGGGAAATCAAAACGCGTAGCTACTGCCAAAATTCGGGGGCATTTACTGAAAACGGAATCAAATAATTAGTTAAGCTCTTGAGTTAGAGTATTCCCTGAGGGCATATATTCTACTCCGTGACTCTGAGCACGCTTGCATGTGATTCAAATTGCATCGCTAAGTTATGTGTACAATAAAAAGTAGCTCCACCCTAATTGGGTTATTTTCCCAGAATACCAGTCTAATATTGTTCCGTTCCAGGTTATTAAAAGGTTTCAGTTTTCACTTTTAAATATATCTCATGACCATTGGGGCTTTCCCCTCTCGATCCCAGCGGTAACCCGCGCATAATAAATACCGCGTGTGTGCATGCAGAACTCATTCAAACAGCCACTTTGCCACAAAGTAAGGAAGATATTTCAGCCAAGAGAGTTGTAACAACCATGAAAGACAACAAGAAGCTACACATTTCAGACTCCGAAAAACGCGACCTACAAACTCTCTGGGATCAAGCCGGTGAGCGGCAGTATAAATGCGAAAAGATTCTCCTAGACAATATGGTAAGGAAGATGTTCTAACGTTTCTGCACAGAGTGGATATATTTCCAATTTATAAAGTGACTAGAAAAGGCAACTTCCGTTGAACGAGGCAGAATTTTCATGTGGATGTTTACTCTTGATTTTCACTTTTATTAAATCAACAGAAATGTTAATTTGTTTTTAAAGAGTTTAGTAGCAGTTTCTTTGATGAATGTACTAATTTATTATTTTCCCCCCTCAGAAGCGCGAACTACCTGAAAAAGTCACGAACAACTTGGGCCGCTTACAATTTGAGGAATACCTTACGGATTCAAGAATAAGCCGGGTAAAACAAGATCAGTTATAAAATAATTTTAAATTTCACCAATTGATAATCAATTACATGTAATCTGTTGCTTTATTTGTTTCTTGCTCTGTAATTTCTTTATGTTTGATTTCTAATGGGTCATCAAGTTTTCTTAGATGAGCTTCCTTTCATTGAAATGTGCTTGAAACAATAAATGAGAAAAGTGAAATAAACACAATTTCATTTTCGTTTTCAGGAGACAAATGTTGGGCTTTTTCGCGACGACCTACAGAAATTTGAAAGATTCAAGGCCGCTGTAGAACTGGCCCACAGCTCCCCTTACGAAGAAGTGAGAGCGTTAAGCAAGGAATTGGATTCGATTTTATCTACCCTCACAAGTCGAATGATAAAAATTGTAAGTTTGAATATCCTTCTATATAAATATAGTGACAAACCGCATGATCACGAATATTACTTAACGCATTGCGTGACCAGTCCTCAAAGTGAATTATAGGGTTGACTGAACACTAAAAAAAACATTCAGACTTTTGGTTAAACAAAACAACTAAACGTAAAAGCCGTGTTCAAGGGCTTGATGTGGATCACATAATTTCACGAGGCAAATGTGTAGAAATCCGAATGAGTAGAACGTTTAGAAATGTGTAAACAAATATGTAGACATCTAAATACAGATGGTGAAAATAAATACACAAATAAACGTTTTAAGCTTTAGGAAATTGAATATTTTCTATCTGATAATGTTTTTTTTTTCTTTTTTGTGTGTTTTTAATACCTAGCTTCAAACAAACCTTTAATTTTTTGAATCATATATTCCTTATGTTTTTCAGCTTAGAGATAAAGAGATTCCTTTCACATTTCCAGACGATTTACATGATCTCAAGGACAAACTGAACGAAGCAACAAAGAATTTCTTGGTAAGATTCAGATCCGGGGGGT